AGGCATTTGATCTAGATGGCATCATCACACAATCCTCCTTGTTTATTTGTTCCCAAAAAGATGGAAAAAATAAATTACATTTACCATTAAATTAAAAGTGAAACAATTTGACCACATTGTGCCTGAAATGTTAATGCAGGTTGTTCAGCCCGTATCTCAGTCTACAGTTCATTAAAAATAGCTCTTCATGCACTCGTTTCATTTCAGTGATTCAGTGTTTGTCTTCATCCTAGAGGGAGAGAAGAGGAAGAGGCAGGTACAACAGTTTCTCTGTCCAGTTTGTTAGTGGCTATGTCTCCTCATCCTCCCTCTCTCCCAGTGCAGTAATGTTAGAATAGAGACACTACTGAAAAAGCCTCGAGGTATCACAGACTTACCTTCATTTCAAGACAGGACTGAAAGGACCAAAAATGAAAAACAAAAACAAATACATGAAGTACGATACAGAACAGAACAGAATTAAAACAAAATAAATAGATCTCTTTTTCCCACCCGCAAAACAACCCGTGAAATGAAAGGACTAAATAAACGAAATAATTATTCTGAAATGAAATAATGCTTTCAAAAAAGGAAAAGATGAAACATTTTTTTGATTTCGTTTTTTTTGTTTGTTTGTTTTCTTTAAATATAGAGATGTAGACATTTTTCTTTTTGGACACAAATTGCATTGGTGAGGGGGGGTGACTGAAGGGGGCAGCAGGTATGACAGAGGAGGCTGAAAGGTGAGCCAAGTAGTGGTGACACTTCCTCAAAGAAGAAATGGGTTGGTGCTTGTGCCTGTCGTTCCTCCACCTCCCACTGATCCTCCAGCACCCATCACCCCTCCTGGTCCTGTGGGCCCACCCAAAATCAGCTGAGGAGGTGGTGCGACTCCGGGTCCCATCAGACCTGAGCCTGGGGGTGCCATTGGGGAGAGCCCGCTGTACGGCATGCCCATGGGGCTGGGCTGCATCATGCCCAGGCCCATTCCCGGAGCCCCCATTCCCATACTCATTGGCGCCATGCCCATTCCTGGTTGCACCATGCCCAGCATGGGATTGGGAGGCACAGGACTGGTGCGGAGGCCGCTAAGGCCGAGTGAGGAGGGCTGAGGTGAGATGGAGGTCATAGGAGGAGCCACCCCAAAAGGGTTAGACGATGCAGGTGTTGGAGAAACCCCCCTACTGGAAATGGTACTGCCCGGAGTCACTGCCATGCCAGTAGCAGGAGATGAACCTGGAACAGAAGAAACACGTACACGGGATAAATCACAAAGTTCACTCGTCTAACACATTTTTAATTTAATGTTATTATTAACAGATCACATTAACATGTGTATCTCTGTATTAACAAACATGCCATATTGGCCCAGTTTATTTTTCTTATCATTGTTGTGAGGAGACCATAAATAGCATTTGCATTTCTGTTGTACAGTTCATTTGCTGTTATGGAGTTCTTGTTATGGATAAAAAGTGTCTGTTTTTTGTTTCAAAATAGCTGATAACTGCCAACATCTACAAACAAATATAATTTTTTAAAGTGGTTCTATATAGTGTGAAACTGTTAATATAGAGCGTTATTACATTTATTGCTAATGCAATCATATGGCACATTGACTTCTGAGGAAAGTTTAGATGGCACACATCATCAGAAAGATTGCCTACCCCTGGTCTATATCATAACATCATCATTATTAACATCAGAAAGCCTTTAAGACATAGTAAAGATATATTTTTACTGGCTTAGTTCACATTGCATATTTATCTTAATATATCTGGCTATGATCTTTGACAGTATTTGAGATTATTATATATTTTTTGCAATTAAGAAAATGTTTTCTTTAAAAAACAACAACAACAACAACAACAAAAACTAAATGTGAATATGGCACGCACATACAATTAAAAGGGTTGCGTTTTGTCTTTGCTTTGCTGACAGACGTTTTATGGAATTAATTTTTAATACATTGCACTTTCTAAAAGAGCAGTTCATTCTGAAACTTCTGTGTTTGGTCACATGTGTTTGGTAACTATGTGTGGATTGTGATTAAGAAGGGGTTTCTCGTTATCGAATCAGAAAATGCCACAAACGTTATTTGTAAACCACAATAATGAATAAAAGAATGGAGACAGTTTGACATCTCCAAGTTAAAATCTCGTAGAGAAGATTAAATCAATTTTCGCCATGTTAACCTAGAAGTTTTAAAATTTTAGCAAACAAAAAAGCAAAACAATATTTTGGACTTCAGCCTGGTTTCTGCATGTTGATCAGATATTATGATATTGTGACATGTGCATGCAAGTGAGGCAAATGCAAAAAAAAAAAAAGAAGAGACTGGAGCTGAATCAGTAAACCGATCGACCAAATTAATCAGAAACCACTGTGATAATCATTTTACATCTTCATTTTGTTTTTATTTCCCTGACAAGCATGTTTTCAATTTATTTTTATCTTTCAAATAAAATACTCATATTTTGTTTCAGTCCCACAAAATAAAGGTTAATGGAAACGCAAACATTTGCTCTTACATTTTACTTTTACAATTACTCAAATTTTAATTTTACATTTAAACAAATAAGTTATATATTTTCTACTGATTTATTAACTCAATGATTTTCTTTCCTTTTTCAATTTCTGTAAATGTTTCCATAGCCTGATAAAAGGTACGTTTTCAAGGCACCATTACACAGCAGTTTCATGTTAACGTCAGTCATTTTCATATAAATGCTTACAGAAATTCATGAATATTCTAGGCTCTCCCTAAATACAAGTCACAGGAATTCAGCGAGACTGAATTTGTCTTTCTGGACACAAAACGTCGAGCTCATGAAGTTCGGCTGTAACTAACCTGTGTTCTGAAGGAAGGGGTTGTGTGCTGATGAGGACGAGATGGAGGGAGGCGGTGGCTGTTTGGGTTTGGGTTTAGACGGCACCAGAGAATCGAGATCCACCAGTGCTGCGTTGGGGCCCAGGAAGGACTCAGGAGTCTTCCGAACAGGAAGTGAAGAACCAAGAGAGGACAGGTCAAAGGGTACCGGTGAGCCTGTGCTGTCAGCGCCTGCTCCTGAAGATCCTAGTTGCTCTGGATCTCCTAAGCGAGGTAATGAAGAGCAGAAAGAGTAAATCAGACTCTTAAAAACGTACTCATAACAGCAAAAAACAATATCCGAGTAGATACTCACACAAAGGAGGATGAAATGTTAGACAGGACAGCTGCTGAGTGCATGCATTTGGAAATTTGTGTGCAAAATATGTAAATTCTGTTTACAATTTTGCGCCAGAACCCGAGCATGTGAGAGTTCACGTAGTTTTACGTGTCAATGTACCTGTGCCGTTAGTGTGTTTGGCGGAGCCACTCCAGATGTCGGAGGTGATAGGGTCAGAGGCAGGGACAGGCCCGTCCTTTGCCCAGGGGTCTACTGGCCCCCCGGAGGAGGAAGTGCTGGGAGGCAATGGAGGACCCCAGGGGTCAGCACTGGGGGGGGTCACAGCTACAGGGGAGGGAAGGACACGCAAGGGAGGGGAGGGTTAACACAACACCTTACAGGTACAACTCACAATAAGGCGGGGACAGGAAGCTGGGCTGGGCAACAACAGTGGTGTTTCTCTCTCCTCAACCTCTCCATTGTTAACTTTCCAGGAGGACTGATACAACTGACAGCCACATTACTTACTCTTAAAGATAATCTGAAACTTATCGGAGGTAAAGGAGAGATAAGAAGCAACCTCATACAAAAAATAGATAAATAACTGAAAAAGGCATACAGAGGGCAAGAGAAGAGAAAGCTCTGGTTGAGACACAGCCACAGTCAGTCCTGAGTAAAAACAAGAGGATAAAAATCCCTGGTTTAGACACAGAGGGGGAATGGCATGCTTGCTTTCTTCACTACAAAGAGAAAGCATGTATAGACGGATGAAAAGATCAGCTATGACAGCATGGTGACATGTATGAGGGGAAATGCAACCGTGGAGTGAAGGGGAGAAAAAGTCTCCACATCCTCTTTCACCCACAGAGACAAGGTTCTGTTTTAATCACCAGCAACAAGTACAGTCCCACCCACCTGACTGCCGACAGAGGTCAAACATGACCACGGGTCGAAGATCCTTACCTGAGCTTCCCCAGGGGTCGACGTTGTTTACTTTGTTGGATGATTCACCCCATGGATCTGGAGGAGGAGCTATAACAGGCGGCGCTCCCCCACCCCAAGGATCAGAGCTTGTAGGGGATGTGGGTGATGCTACCCCCCATGGATCTGTGGTGGCTGTGCCCCACGGGCCCGAGGCGGCAGAGGCAGAAACTGTGGGTAGAGGTGATGGCCCGGCGGAGCTCACGACAGGAGCAGCGGGGGTCCCCCAGGGGTCCACAGCACTCAGCTCCATCAGAGCGCTCTGTACAAGAGAACATTTAATGAATTAATGCTTGCACAGCTGATGGACATCATTACACACGTTTCACTATGCCAGCACATTTATCATTTTCTATCAGTCTTATTAGCCTGTTCTCTCTCTCGGGCATTCATCAATAGTGCTGATGAGATGTAAAACCACAGAAGGAGAATTGTTGGCATCACCACCAACTTTTCTTTCGCTGCTTTTTGCACATTTTTAAAATGATTTATTACTTGAGTTGGGACTTAAATGAAAGTCCTGATTTCAATCTTTGTTTCAAAAGTTTAGTTTTCTAAATAGTTTAGGGAAGTAAGCCTTAACCAAACTGCTCACTGTGTGGGCGGTTAAAGGTCTTCTTCCTCTCTATTGTTTTTGCAGAGGCTTCCATTTTTCTAATGTGTTTTTGGTCTTTTTAAGCAACTATTTTACATGAATAAAATTGGGATAATCTCAAATGTTGGCTTGTATGAACCAAGGATCAGGGGACTATAACCTCAGGTGACATTCTGAGGTTAGATAATAGTGTTGTGATAAAGGAGAAAATTGAAAATTAGTAATATTAATTAATTAATTTAATATTATTAAAAATAATAATAGCTGTTAGTTATGCTTTGAAGACCATCTGCAGTCTCAACAAAGATGCCTTTTTGGTGGAAAATTCTGGCAACGGCTGAACTAATTTTTATTACTGTAGAGAAGAAAAAAACTGAATGAAAGCACAAAGGTATCTCACATTTCAGAGAATGATTAATGTGTCTGAAGCTCTGAAACTTGAAAGACCTGAAGGGTTGTGTAACACTGAGGAGTAGCTTTGGACCCAAAGCTTTCTTACGAACAAGCGGATTATTGCATCAGTTATGATAAAATCTACGCACTGTGCATTTTATGGAGCACAATGTGTCTCCCCAGTACAATGAAAACATTGTGTGTTTCCAAGCTTCATGCAAATTTGAATCCTTAGCAACACTGCTTACACATGAAGTCAAATAAGACACCTGATAATGCTTTCACGTACCATCTGCTTTTTTCTTTTTGCTGAACAGTCCATCTGTATTTTACCAACACTTTTAGTATCTGAAAGTTTTCACTTCAAGTCAAGTCACACTTTGTTAATCAGGCACACAGCTAACAAAGCTGAATTTACTCATGGAGACACACACAGACCCAAGTAAAGCAGATGATCCAATGCAGCTTATCTATATTCATTAAAACAAAACAAAAACACCCACCTCCTCTGGTTTTGGTTTCTCCCTTTTGCTCTCCTCAATAGCCATCTGCAGTCTCAGGTCATCACCTCTGCGCAGCCGCTCCTCCTGCCAATCACAAACACACAATTATATCCATCAGCAAACTCCAAAAACGCACCACAGGCACAGATTCATTAAATCCACACTGAAGGTCAGTATGAGCGAAGGAGGAAACCCTAACCTTTAATCATGATTCAAAGGCAAAAGATAAGGCTGTTCACACAATGTGTGTGAAGAGCTTGTAATTTTAACACAGCTTAACACAATTTAGATTACAAGCGCTGTCACGCGGCATCCTAAAACTGAAGACAGTGGCAGGAAGATGTCTTAGACATGGGTAGGCAAAACGGCTCCTGAGAGGGAGGATACAGATGCAAAAGCAGCTGTGGTTCGTTTGTTTGCTATCAAATGCTGCCATGGTGAATACTCCAACTGCTGTGTGGGTTTTAACTGCCTGCACCAACAATGGTATCAGTTCGGTAGCTGCGCACAGCAGAGCTTCTTTATCACCTGAAGGACAAAACCTTTACAGTAGAAATAGAAAGCCTTTTATATGAAATCAATAACAATTAATTTCAGCTCAGATGGAGATCTTGAACATCAACTTAAGATTCTGCCTATTGCCACCTTTATTCTAACACATTTCACTGAGGGCTGACAGCATAACACAGACTTATCTGCAAGACAACAGATTGTCTTTAATGCCAGTAAGCAACATTAACATTAAATCTGAAAGGCTAAACTAGTCTAGTTTTACAGTAAGTGCAGGACTGCAAACACTTGATGCAGACAAACAGGGTTAGCACTCAGTAAACACAGAAACAGGAAGTTACAACAGCAGGAGGAGGGTGTTAGAGGTTAGGAAAGAAATGTTTTAAATCAAGACTAGGGTTAAGTGCATGCTATCAGAGACGGCAATGAGAAAGAAAGAATAATCAATACTTGCAAGCCACTCATTGTTAATAAATTATGGCAAATATTTGCCAGTGACATGCAAATTCTAGATGGCAGATGATTAATTTGTTAGGTGCACGTTTTTCTTGCAGTTTTAACACATCTTGATGAGGTTCTGAAAAGTGCCTCTTAGGATGCGACTTTTTAAACTGAATTACTGCAACAGGATTACTGCAAATACGAGCATTAATTCATTTTTTCTTGATCGATCAATACTTGACATTTGCTTGAGAAATTCCATTTGACAGAAAGACAGATAGTTGATGACTGGCTCTCCAGCCAGCTGGACACACTCTCTGCCCCTGACCTGTTGGTGAATCTCTTTGCTGAGTGTGAGTGCATAGCGGAGCTCTGCATCCTCCAGAGGGTCCGTGCTATTCTGGGGGAGTTCAGGGGTTAAATGGTGAGAGCAAAGCTAGGTGTGCTGCATGTACAATATTTGTAAAGCCTTTGTGTACATAAGTGACGTGTACATTAGACTGACTGCAAACTTATCTGAAGTAAAGGACCAGTAAGCTTAGCTCAACAGGCCTACTTGGTGTTACCTGCTCTGCCTCTTCTTTACTCATAGCCAAAGCCAGCTGGAGCTGCAGATCTTCTTCTCCAGAGCTCTGTGGCCAAGCCTGCTCACTATCAGCACCCCCAGAGTGTGAGCCCAGCGACAGGCTGCCCCCCAGGCTGGGTGCTGAGGGGGCTGAGGAGGCTAAAGTGGAGATAAATATGCACAGAAGGGACCAAACCCTCTTATAAATACTGCAACTGTGACCACTGGATCAGTCTGTTAACTACTTAGAGTAGGTGTCTCACCACTGGAGGTCTGTGCCATCTTCTCTTTGGTTTTCAGGGCGTGGATCCTCTCCTCTCTTAGTCTCTCTTCATCTTTTAACAGCGTCACCAACTGTTTGGCTTTCTCTCGCACATTCACACCCTGGAAAAACAAAGCGAACCACTGTTAATTTACTACATAACATGAAACAGATACAGTTAATTACAAAATCAAGTATAAAAGCAGTTACTTGCACAGCATACTGTATTGATTTAAAAAATGTTTCAACTCAAGCAAAGCTCATTTATCAACAACCAATAAAACTTTTATGGCTGGCTTTGTGTAGTTGCACAACAGGTCAGAGACACCTAGTCAAACACGCTGCTTGTAGTTTAGTCAAGGACGTTTTACAGAGTGTGCCTGCATTCCACAAACGTGGACTTTAATCACCACTGACTTCACCTTTCCATTCAGCTTTGAATGCATGGGTGTGTCTGTGTACCTGGTCTTTGCCATCTCTGTCTATGTACTGGAAATCCTTGAGGGTCTGGACTGCGTAAATGTTCTCTCGGCACTGCTGGGCAACACGTTCTGAACCAGTTTTGATCAGGTACTCCATAAGAGTCATAGCCTAGAGAAAATGGAGAGAACTGTAAATTTTCAAATACAAAAATCCCAAAAGTAAAATAAACCTTTTACACACAAAAATAAAAACAAATATTTGAGCTTTCGGTTTTTAAATCCCACACATAATTACTGACCATCTCTGTACTACAGACATAACTACTCCATGGATTCCCATCCAAAGCCCCAAACCTTTTTAGGTGGCAATTATTCCGTGCTGCAGACACTGAGACACTGCGGATAAGTAGTTATTCCTGGAAAACTTTCTTTAAAGGGCGCATAGGTAGTGCACTCTTTGGTAATGTCCTGTAAACAAACCTGGGCAGTCATAAAAAAAGAAAAAGAAAAGGAAAAAAAAAAGAGGCATACGTGTAGACGTCTGCACACAGCTTCAAGCAAAATGTCTGATGGGAGACTTTTTGTTGCTTGGACCCAGGCAGCGCACTTGCAGACACTGAAACTACAAAACACCAAAGGGTGATGTGTCTACCAAGCTGTTTTTTTAAAGACCATGGCTGTGCAATTAGGTGAATCTTAATTTCGGTTTCCACGACTTATTAACACAAGCTGATTCCAATAGAAAGATTATTATGCTGCACTCCGTTTTGGACATTCCTTTCCTTTACTGTAACCTCTATATAAAAGTCCACATTTACTTCCAGCCAGGCAGCAGATTTAGTTTGGTTCACATTTATTTTTTTATTTAGTTTTTCAGTTGAATTAAAGTTAATGGAAATACACTTGTATAAAAGACATCATTCTTCTTTTACGTTTAGTCAGTCTATTTTTCCAAAACCAAAAATTCATTGTAATCTTACTATTTAATACAATAACTGTGACTATGAATTCTCCTATAATTGAGGCACTTTCCTTCCAAAGGTCTGTAAGAATTGTGCCATATTTTTACACATTTCAAAAAGGCTGCGTTCGCCACTGTCAGCTTGTACCAAGGCACCCAATGAAGGAGGGGTGGCATAAATACTATGTCAACCAATAGTCACAGTGGTGCTCTGTGTGTGTAAATACCACGAGATTAGTATGAAAATAATACTTGCAGGAACATTTTGGGTCTCTCGGTTAAGCAAAAAGACAGAAATATGCAGAAAAAAATAAAAGGTTGCACACTGCAAGGTCCCAGATTCGCCCTTTTTATTAAACCAGATATCTGATGAACTGTTCCAAACAACTTACTTTTAAATATTCACAATTTAAGTAGCATGCTTTATTTCCTTTGGATGAAATAATGAGATAATGATATGCTATATTTTGGAGTTTTCCCATTGTGTTTACGGTCTTGTGTTTAATCTGTATTGTTATTCCCCAACTTCACTTCTGGACTCACAAACCTTGTACACATGTCTCCAATTCTTGCCGTGGTCATTGAGGCGCTTCCACACCATGCTCATGATTTCCGAGAAGGCCACGACATTGTAGGTAAGATCAGCGATCTCTGACATAAGGGAGCTGCTGGGGCCCCATGGGTCATTCGACGTCGCCTCCCTAACCTGGACACAAGAACACACAAGAGGGATAAACCATTAATTATTCCACTCAAACCGACTGAGATGGGAATTATTTCAGACATTACTTTGTGACATCTTGGTGCACAGTGTTCTGAGTAACAAAATAAATTCAATCAGATCACAAGCTGCAGAGAATAATGAATGGGTACGATATGATTAGATTAGCTCATTCTCTACATAACAAGGGGAAGAGTGAGGAGGTTCTCCAAAGAAATATTAGATTATCGGAATCCGCATAATCTCATCATCTGTGTGGCAGAGATGCATTTGCTACACTTAAGTCCTAGATACAAAATGGGAATGTGTGGAGAAAATGAAACAGAAGAAGAAAAGCCAGCTAAGAAGCCAAGAGACACAACCTTGATTTCAGCCTCTGAATAGTTGTGGACGATGTTCTTTACTTGTCGCCGTAGCGATGAGGTCGACATGGCAACGGTCTGGCCACCAAGCTCTGTTGAAATCTGAACAGCAGATGGGCAAGAAGAAATGTAAAGTAGAGTTAGTACAATACAAATAATACAAGTTTATTTCCAGCGCACACAAATCAACAAGACTTACAACCAATAAAACAACCAGCAAGAAAGACGATGAAGACTTGAAATACTCGTAAGGAAGTGTGTGTATAAAAGAGTCTGAAAGGAAGAAACAGCAGACTTTAAGAAGAACAATCAGTGAGTGGAAGATTGCATTGGTAACCCAAATCAGCATCAAACGAGGAATAAAGACAATATCATGCACACCTGTTACACAAGACTGATGCAGGAAAAGGGTCTCTCCTCTTGGTATATTGCCGTTCCTCTATCTTGGCTGCCACTCATTCATGGAGTGCTTTGTCTCGGTTTGTCTGTTTCTTCCCGTGGCAACATTGGGTCCCAAAACCACAGACTAAGGGGGATGAAAACTAGGGAGCAGGATTGAGATTAATGTAAGTGTAAATGCATTGTGACTTGGATACTTCTGCTACAGCACAACGAGCAGCCTTAAACTTAATCTGTCACTAAATCTAAAGTAACCATTTATAAAAATTTAAAAAAACAAAACAAAAGGACAAAGGAGATATTCAGCAACAAATATCACATGATCTGTTGCTGATCCACACATGCTTCACAGAGACGCAACTTATCAGTTATGAGCTTGAGCGAACAGCTTAAAAATAGGAATGCAGTCATTTTAAATATGACCATCTGACTGAAAGCTAATACAGGTTGTCTTTTTATTTACTTGTCAAGTGAAGAGAAACATTACAATCTACACTATAAATAATTATTCAGTGAGTTTTAAAGTCTGTTTTCTGTTCTTTACATCTTCTTTGAAGATTTACCCCAGGCCAAACTGATAAATACTGTTTAGTGACAAGGTTAAATTCCATCTTTAGAAGCAAAAAATAAAAGTAATCAGTAAAAAGAGCAAGAAAGCGTGAATGAAAACAAAGTAAATTTATGACAGAGAACTGTAGCAGTGAATTTAACTGGATGCGATTTTAAAAGATGGCGTTCACACTTTCAGGCAAACCATTTTGGCTCCTCAACCTTGATTCCTTAACAAAGTCAATAATTTAGTTTTCACATCTAAACATCAGGCAACTTCCAGCTTCACACCAGGGTAAAACTATACAAGAGTAGCACTAAGATAAATATTTTAGAAGGGATCCGTTTACTTAACTCCAGGTACTCTAATCATTACACTGCCACAAACTTTAATCTTGAACCCATATTTGCAGGCCTCAAGAGCAGAATCACGGATTAATAAAAACAACATATCATCAACCAGTGCTGACACTAATCAGAGACAGAGTCACGTATGGATGTCAAGAAAATGACACGCATGGTTAAAACAAACTATAAACTTGAGACGGATTTTAAATGAGTATTTTAATTCGAAGAGATTGATACCCAACAAGTGTGCGAAACCTTATGATGCAATAACGTATAGCTTCTGTTTTGCAACACCACTGACAGTTCCTGAATTTGGTCTAAAAAAACCATGGACTTATTCTGTTTGCTGATGGAGAAAGAAAAAAGGCACGCAGAATGATTTTTGTGGATCAACAGCACATCCCTCACTACCTGCTGAGCTTTTTTTAGTATCTGATTGCTCACGCATCAGGTTGAAACACTGTTGCTGACCAGATGCAAGCTCTCACTGCCACAATCTGCATTTTCTTGCGTAACAGATGCTACCTCAGCTTGTGCCACAAAAATATAGTCAGGTCCATAAATATTTGGACACCGACAGAAGCACTGAAGGAGCTAGCTACACTTTTCTGATGTGAATAGAGGCAAAATTACAAAAGCTATCACTCTCAAAACACTTATGGATCTAACTGAATAAAGGCAATAAAACAGATCTAACATGATCAGACTTAATTTTGCTGTGTTTATTTATAAGTTCTACAGTCATGTTTTGAGAGCGGCCCTGAAATAAAACATCAAGAACACATGTGATTGTGATTGTTATTTGAGCAACTGAAAAACACTGATCATCTTAAAGGTTGATGCTCAGCAATTCTCTCGACTTGTACCTTTCAAAAATAAAGGAAGCACATTGTCTTTCCTTTATAATATAATAAATATCAAATTTTCCCCACCCACTGTATGAGGACCTTCCCCCAGGTGGCAAACCAGCACTGGCAAGAAACATTGCCGCTCTTTCCGTTTCTCCAGATTCAAGCAGATCCTTCTTTATACTGAACCAATAAAGTAAACAAACTGACTTCTACAAACAGCATGCTGGTTACAAACTTGAGATTAGTTAAAGAACGAAAGGAAAATAAGATTTTAGCTCTGACTGCTTGTTACTTGTTAAAATAAGTTGTAACTTGCAGTAATAAATTAACCTGTTGGCAATGTTTAAACCAATGGTTCCCAAATAGTGTGGCTGGATAAAAAAAATGATTACTGTAATTGCACAAGAAGTAACCAATGAAATTCAAATGTACTACATTAGTTGACATGAAATGACCTGATTGAGAGTGAGGAGGATCAAATTTGCACAGTGGTAAAACTGATCACTTTTTTGTATAGAGAAAACCACATACAACCACTTCAAGATCAAGAACTGTTAGGAGGAAAAAAAAAAACACAAAAAAATATACTTTTTTATGGCTTCAGCTGGACTGGGATGTTAATAGGCCTTTATTTTCTGTAAGGTATTAACAAATGTGAACGCTGTGCCACACAAGCAAGACACACCTGAAAACCAGATCTTGAGAGAAACTCCGACTACTAAGTTGCATGTTCGTGGAGCTTACTGGAGACCAAAAAAAAAAAAAAAAAAAAGAAAAAATTGTAGGTGTCACACTTAAAAGTGCTTTCATCTGACACAACAGCTAAAACAGTCATTCACGCCATTTTAGCTGACATAAAGGCTAGTTTCTGCAGATATAAACACTGGTTTAAAGTTTGAAAACTGCTGGGTCATTCCATCACAAAACAAAATGGGCCTTCTGTTCGAACATCTCAGATATCCCTAAAAATGAGATGGTCCAAAGTTTGGATTTATATCAATATATGAAATACTTCTCTAGCTTACACTTTGAAATTTGAGACCATGTTTGAATGAGCATACCTCAGCAAATATTAAAGATAAATACCTGAAATTTACTATACCAAATGATGAATCGGGATCTGTAATTTCAGACAAATACAGAGTATTTTCTAACTAAAATATGGAGGGGGAAAATAAAAGCCATCTTGTAAATTCCCATGTTTATTCACACACCGATAAAAAAATAAAAAATAAAAAATCACATTGCAAAAGCCAACTATTAATAATTTCTGAGTGATATATAATTTTATTTCACAATACCACAAAATTAAATGTGCAGAATATTGTTTTGACATGAAATTCTTAGTTAATTCATAATCCAAATATAGTAAATTTAGAGTTTCCAGAGTTTCAACTGAGAAAATTTTGTTAAATACATGCACGTTCTTAATTTCCAAGACCTACTGCCCTGTATGACTCAGGTTAGGTTTAAAATATATGAAGAATATTAAAAATGCAGTGAAAATGTACAAAAAAAGACAGGCACATCGGACAAGGTTGAGCAGAAAATGTTCTTAACAACTGGATGATTTAGGATGGTTTGGCCCCAGTGTCACGATCAAAAATGCCTTCATCTGACAACACAGCTAAAGCTGTCATTCACACCATTTCAGCTGTGTGAAAACCATTCGATTACACATTTTAAATGGATTTTAAATGGCACAAACCTAAAGCCTTTAGTTTGGATACTATACGAAAAACATAACTGTTCCAAACATCATTAAGTGTTTTAAATGAGCCTGACAGCTATAAGGGGTTCAGATTTGTAGGTCAGATAAACATGAGAGCATGTTGCATAACTGAACAGAAAGCAACCATTGCAAAAGTCAGTTCAGAGACTCCTGAAGCCCAGTGCCAAAGTTCAGACACGCCAGCTAATCCGTGATAACCATGATAAGTGACATAACATACCTTTTATATAGCTCCTCTTCTCGGATATCGTCAGTCTGAAGCCACACTGAGGGGAAAAAAATCCCCCACAAAGTTTCATCAGAAGCACTACAGTACACACTTTATCACCCTCAAGCGCCAAAAATACACAGATCTCTCACTTAGATCACATACAGAACAAGCGATAAACAATCTGCTGTAGCGTTTATTTACTCATAACTCACGTCACAGGAAGCTGCTCTATATGAAGGATGGATTGTATGGTTGAAGCCAATTAAAAAAGGCGAAAAGCAGGCATAAGTGTTAACTGATTTATTCCTCCTATCACTCATATCCAGCTAACACTGCACAGCCTCCCGAAGACGTGACCCCCACCCAGATAACGTTAACGACCCTGCCAGGCAGATGCTGAGCTCCCTGTCACACCTATTAAGATAGGAGGCTAACTAACTGACATGTTAGCAACCAAACTGTCATCTAACGTTTTTCTAGCTGCAAGCAAACGATAATGCCCGCTGTAAAATGGCACACACGGGTATTAAGCGAACATTTTTATGTCGCAGAGGCTTAATTTATCAACTAAAGCTGAGCACCAAACTCTCTTATTCCCAGCTAAGCTAATCGAAACTGTTTGCGATCACTTTGCTATCACAAAGTCTGGGTGTAGTACTAACAGGTGCACGGAGGGGTTTAGTTAGGCACAAAAAAGCGGGGTAACTAAACAGAACGAGTCGCTCCTGTCCCAGCGCTGAATTACCCCAAAATCGATAAAAAGGTGAAGGTTACCTGCCACTTTGACTGATAAAAGAAATCACTTTGCTGCTGTTGCTGTTCGGACACATTAGCCAGCTAGCCTGGTAGCAGTTAGCTGTTGCTAGTTCGCTACATGACTGACGGACCGTATGAGCTCCAGCTTCACGTCCTGCTTTGGGACCCTACTGAATACACGCATTCAAGAGTCGAAAAAGGCTGACAACCCGGCACAATAAATATCTAAAATAAATGTCTACTGACCCTGCTGTAGCTTGAATGTACGAGGAGATGGCCGAATTTCCGCTTCCGTTCTCGCCTACAGGAAAGACCGCACCCCCTGTAGCTTTGTTTTCCTGTGATGGTAGTAGGAGACTCATGAATTATTAATTGAGACGAAATGAAAGTCTCAAATAAAGAGACATCGAAATGATTGTTTATTACCGTTTAATATGTAATACGGGGTACGTTTTTAGTTCTGAGATAAATTTCCTCTTTAATATTCATTTTGTGTCAAAGGGAAGAACACATCCTCTTTTTTGTCATTATTTTTGTTTTGGGAGACGTTTGTTCCATGTTTTCCAGTCTTCTCAGAGATTAAAAAAAAAAAAAGACTTTGTGTTTCTAATAGAAAAGAAAACTGTTTGATAGTATACAAAGTGTCTCTCTGGTTTCATTTTTAAAAAATCCTAGATGAGGAACTCGTTTCACTATTGGCAAGAAAATGGAGAACTTGCCCCTAATTTTATATTTTTACATTGTGATAGGAGGTTTAATATTAGACAAAGATTACCCAAAGAAACACAAAATGCAGTTTTTAAATGATGATTTCATTCATTAGGGGAATCCAAACCTAGCTGGCCCCTCCTCAGTAAAGGAGCTGTTAATTAATGTGAACAACATTTTTTTTTAGAAAGCACAGTTCAGTTTCTTTGGCTGTCTCCAGGACTGATTATTGCCAGCCTGTTGATTTGAGAAATCACTTAAATTGTTCCTGTCTGACCAAGTGAAATAGGCTAAAAGATTCCAAAAAGGAAAGCTTCACACCACAACCTAAAGAAATAGCTGAGAAACACAGTCATCAACATCGATCAGTCTGGAAAGAGTTACAAAGCCATTTCTAAGACTTTGGGACTCCAGTGAACCATGGAGAGAGCCATTATCTACAAATGAAAAAAAAAGTGGAATAGTGGTGAAGCTTTCCAGGAGTGGTCAGCCAACCAAAATTAGTCCAAGAGCACATTAACGACTCACTCAAGATGTCACAAAAGAAGTAAAAGTAACAAAGCATTTCATAAAAGAACATCATACCAGCACTCAAACATGGTCGTTTTAATGTGATGGTCTGGGGCTGCTTTTCTGGTTCAGGGCCTGGGCGACTTGCCATAATTGATGGAACCATGAATTCTGCTCTCTACCAGAAAATCCTGAAGGAGAACATCCAGTCATTAATTTATACCCTGAAACTCAAAGTGAATTTGGGTTATGCACCAGGAAAGCTCCGAAACACACCAGCAAGCCTACCTCTGACACAAGAAAATGAAGGTTTTAGAGCAGCCTAGACAAAGTCCAGATTTAAATCACATCGAGATGCTTTGACCTGACCATAAACAGTTCATTCGTGCTTGAAAACCCCTCCACTGTGGCTGAATTAAAACAATTCTGAGACGATAAATGGGCCAAAATTCTTCTACAGTGATGTGAAAGATTCATTGCCAGTTATTGAAAATGACTGATTGCAGTTCTTGCTGCCAAGGGTGGCCCAACCCTTAGCTTTAGGGGGCAATTATTTTTTTCACATAGGGGCAGATAGGTTTGGATAGCTTTTTTTGCCCTTAATAAACCAAACCATCATTTAAAAAATGCATTTTATATTTGCTCGGGATATTGTTATCTAATGTTAAAATTTGTTAAACAAGGACTCTGGCCAAAATAACATCTCTGATGGACAGAGTCTCCCACCCCATGCATGTAAATGTTGCTGAACTGCAGAGCTCCTTCAGTGAGAGACTGCTGCATCCTAGATGCATGAAGGAGCGTTTCCGCAGGTCCTTCCTCCCTGCAGCTGTCAGACTGTACAGTCTAAACTGCTCCCAACAAACATAGATGTTTACATCTGCGCTGTAACTGCAATAATTTAATCAACCGATTTGCACTACAACCTGGTTTGCCTCTTATCTGTAGTTATTTTTATTTAATTTAATAACTGTACAGTACTCTGTTTATAGTAACCATTGTCCATATGTAAATATGTAAGAAAAATTATGTATGTTTCTGTTCTGTGTCCTGTGTACTGTGTACTGTTTGTTTGTATATGTGTCTTTCTGGCTGCTGTTACAACCAAATTTCCCCTTGTGGGACAATTAAAGGATTATTCTATTCTATTCTATTCTATTCTATTCTATTCTATTCTATTCTTGTTTGACAATTTTGAAACATGTAAGTAAACTGTAAAACCTAATATTGTGCTTAATTAAAAACATTAAGTAGACTGAACTCAGTTTTTATCAGCTTGTTAGAACTCAGTTTAAGTTACCGGTAGCTTTTGTTAAAAAAGCTGATTAATAACTCTAACTTTATTTGAATTGGCTTAAATTAGGAAAATTTAAGCTGGAAATTTTGCTTTTCAGTGGTGCAATGTAACTAAGTTAATTTACTCTGTACTGTACTTAAGTAGGTTACAACTCACAGGCAGCTTACTTTACTTGAGCTCTCTCTCCATTGCTGCCTCTCTATGGATATTTGACATTTTACTTCGTTATCTGACAGTTTATATTACTGTTGGAATTTTGTATGTAAAACATACAAATAAGTCACCCAGCTGTCACCCGACTAAAATCATTAATGATTAATTAGTTAATATATTTTTGATCGTTTTTTCTTGTTGTAGTTTGCTATGTTTTTGTTTCTAGATAAAAACAAAGAAGTAGATTGAGAGAATGCATCTCAGGTCAATACAAATGCCCTCATAATTTTAAAAAAACATATGAAATGGTCATTTTATTTTTGTTTTAATGGTCATTTTATTTTGTGTGATTGGTGGTGCCTGTTTTGTGGTGGTAATCCCAGAAGGGAGCCATCAAGCTGAAGGAGGAGTCCTGGGCTTGGTCAGACATCAAGTGGTGGTCTCCAGCTGGAAATGGAGCAGTTCACAGCTGAGTGTGAAGCGTCGGGAATGAGAATGCCTGGACTGACAAACAAATTATCCTTAGAAATATTACAATATACCAAGCTTCTGTGTTTAAATGCAAAACAAATATGTTGTTTGAGCTACAGACTGCACTTATGGCTGAACAATAAATACATTTTATATTTATTAATGTTACTTGCAGTACAAAGTTATGGGAAGCCTAAGTTTAGTTTCAGAATAATTAAATCTGAGACCTTGTTTTATTGTAAGGTTATTCAAGTTTTAAATTGTATAAAAATAAATATAAAATTTCAATTTGATAATATTTAAATAACTCAAGCTACAATGGTTGGCAGTATACTTGTTTGTTGTTCAGCAGAACGGTGCCCAGCATGTTGGCTGAAATACTTTTTTTGCATTTAAAAATAAAAGTTTGGCTGATTTTAATTGCATTACAAGAAGTGTTTTTTTTAATTATACTTACATACAACAATACTAAATATAAACACTGTATCAGAAATTTCTTAAGCTCCAGGATGATAAAACATAATTTGTTTAGTTTAGTTTTGTTGCACTCAATTCTTATGAAAGCAAATTGAAAAATGGTAAGTTCTCACAAATTGTGATTTAATTTAGTTGATTTTTGTCAGTGGATAAATATTTAGTATTGCTCACTCAGAAAACTCAAGTTATTTTTAGTACTGTGTACCCACAATGAACAAGTTGTCCTGCCTTAGTTATCTTAAGTACTACTTTTTAAAAAAAAAAAAAAGTTCTGGAAACGAATTTGATTTTATGGTGTATTAAAAAAATAAGCACAAAAAAAAATCAGGAAAGGAACATATTATTTATTTATTTATTTAACAGCACATCATTTAAGTAAAATTCCAAAGACTCTATTTTGATGTTGTGTTTAACTGAAGCTCAGAGTGAGAAGACCCATAAGCACACTGATGATGTGAAAAATATTGAGAAATATTTGAGCAGGAAGTATTTCACTTCTTAATGAATGAAAACATGAAAAGTGACACCATAAATTGGGTAAATCTTAAGATTTAACGTGCAGCAACAATTTCTGCCCAAAAATGCAATGACCCTCACCGTCCACAGAGAGGCATCCTCGAACTATCTGGTGTGACACCAGACCAGCGTTGCCTTCCCTGGGACCATGAAAAATACCCTGCAAGCCTCTTGGATCAGAACAACAGCTGGCATGCATGTGTGTTACAAGTTCCCCTTTAATCCTTCATCTCTTTATCCCTTTATCTTTCCCTTCTCTCCAGAGAGGAGGGGATTGAAGAAAACATTGCAGCGTGACTCAAGCAAACTATATGACTGTAATGTAATGTTACTCTGCTTTGGAAACACTAATCTTATGAGGACAAGCAAAATGCCGGCGATTATAACAAGTATAAATTATTCTGACAGGTGTCGTTCCACTATTATGTCACACTGAAACTTTATTTAGTATTTCCTCTGTACCCACTCCCCCAAGAGGAGAGGATTGTTACTTTGTTTTAAAAGAAAGACCTGGACTCAGCCTGAGGAGGGGCTTTTGAAGAGGAGGAATCAAACAAACTAACACCGAAGCTCTCACGAGATGCTCTTTTGAAAGTCTGTGCTGTCACTTTCTCGATGTAAATAACATTCATCACTGTGGTTTCTTGTCTGACAAATGAACTCTCAGATCTGTTTCTGTTCATTTTATGTCTAGTTATTTATTTATTCCAAAAAAAACCCCCATTTTTTTCTGAGTAGGTATTTGTTTGTAGGCTCAACCCTGCAACATTGTGTACGTATCAGGTCCTTTTGTCACAATCACTTGAATTCATAATTTATCATCATGCTGAAATTGCCTTTTGTATTAGTCTGTATAAGTTTGATTTGTTGGCCTCTTTTGAGCTCCTGGCTATTCAGTAAATGCAGTTGCTTCCATTTATTTATTCATTCCTGTTTTGCCGATGAGTGAGGAGATGGCAAACCAGTTTCTTTGAAAACTTGTAATACATTGCTTATTGGCTGCTCAGTATCTGACTATTACTTTGCCCCAAGACAAACTGACTAAACGATACTGCATCAACTCAGGACTAACTGAAGTGATCCATTTTTTAGGCACTTTCATGTTATTATGAACTAGAGCGAGGTTAGAGAGAGAGAAAGAGAGACACAATAATTCACACTCACATTGACATCTATGGCCAATTTAGCATCATCAGTTAACTTGGCATGCTTACTAACAGGTCTTTGGACTGTGGGAGAAACATACAGAGGGAGAACATGCAAACTACTCAATCTTGGTGAAACACCTCATTTTCATCTGCTGCCTGAAACAAGCAGCTTTAGCTTGTCGTTAAACTAACCTTATTTTGTCTGGCTGCCACAACAGTCCCATGCCCATATTAAGACATCCATGTGACATCACAGAGATTCAGCAATAGAAAAAAAAATGTCATAACCCAAGCCTTTAGTGCAACCTTTGGCTCATGTAGATCACTCTAACATACACTGACCTGTTTATTTAAACATTTAGCCATGTTTAATATGAACTTTTATCAGTGAAACAGAAAATAAGGACAAAATGTCCTACCCATGGATGTAAAAATAAAATAATAAGGAAACACAAACATACCACGTTGTAACAGGATTCTTTTATTTCAAAATGCATAAGAAAGTCAGGCTGTGTTGTGAGGTGACTGTGCACTATTTCTGTTTCTGAAGCCTGACATAAATGATTTGGTTAGGATGATGTGATTACCATCATTATCATACTTATCAAACCCCAGTGGGTAAGGGCAGCGACATCCTGAAAGAGACTGCTTTCATTAGCATGGAAATGTGTCATTGCAGGATGAAGGTGACGCTGGACTATTTGTACTAAATTGCACTGACCCATTCCTCTGGGAGACAAGAAGACTAACCCGTGCCAGAAAAGATCCCAACCAGAGCATAACTCCAGCACTGCAGGGGTCAAGGGTTCAGGATTTTTCTTTAATGTGCCCCCCCCCTCTGTATAATAAGCAGAGAACATTCCCTCAAAGAACATGGAACCTGGACAAATGGGGTCCACATTGTGTATATATATCTATCTACTGTATATTATGTAATGCGCCAATAAAGCAAAGGTGAAAGTTTGTGTGAAACATCATCAGCAACCAAGTGAGCAATCTGTTTGCATTTTGTACATGCATGCCTTACACACAGTATTTGTGAATGAAACTGAATGCCTCTTGGCATCAAATTGAGAGCAGTAAGAGTTTTGTTGGTGGAGTGGGGAAGTTGGTTGTCACAGCAGAGGCCAAAGAGCCTTGTGGTACATGCACAAACATGCAGCCCGTCGGTGATGACCAGCTGAACACAAGCAGTGGTGTTAGTAACCTGAGAAGGGACTGGCCCGTTGTGATAGCAGCCAGTGTTTGTGTTACATAATGCACAGCCAACAATCCAGTGGCAAGAATATGTCTATAGTATGTAGTACCAGGGGAAATTATCTGAGCAGACAGAAAAAGGAGGAGGGTGTTGAAGCTATGGGAGCTGGAGGAAAGTCCTGACCTACAGCTGGTGTTAAGTAGAAAATAAAGCTGGCATTTAGATCAAGTGCAGAATTAAGTTTTATGTTTTTCTTTTAAAGCAAGGTCTCAGATCTCCTTAATATGAGTCTGATGATTAATATGTGCTTGAAAAGAGAGTAAGTCAGATAGCGTTGTGTAACAAGAAGAGGAATTATGATGACCAATGAAAACCTTCATTTATGGATGTGATGATTATATTTTAGTCAATTTTTAATTTTGATCAATTTTAAATGCCTCCATCAGAAAGCGGCAGATATCAAGGATAAGGAAGAGAGAACATCAATATTTAAAAATAAAATGCTCTGTAACTATATGCTGTAATCCCAGTAAGATTCAGGGATCATGGATACAGCTTGTTGGCCTATTCCAATCATTCCAGCATACCTGTTGATTAAAAGAGGAATCCTATACTGTGTGAGGATTTCACTGACTCAGACAGGCTGAGAGGGTGAGAAAGAGACATGGAAGGAATATGAGGGGGTACAAGGTGAATGACAGCTGAGGAGAGGGGAGGCAGAAGAGCGATGGGTTAATGTGGTCAGGCTTACTGACAGATTGGAAGAGGTGGGATATTAGCAGTGCTGTGCAGTAGAGAGGGGCGCACGGGGAGTAGGAGGTTTGAAATGCCTTGTAGCTGGTTCGTGCGTATTTGCCAGCATAACAGGCCAGAGGCGGAGAGAGCGGGAGTCTTGGCACAAGAGTAGGAAAAGAGAGGGAGGGAGTTAAGCATGTGTCTCATGGGGAGAAACACACAGCCAATATTCTGGTCTCCAGTAAACATCTATAAGCCTCCTTTATAAAGTCAGCTGTGCTACTGCATGGAACAAGGGAGCAAAAGCAAAAATATCCACTTTGATTATCAGTCTAGCTGCGAACATTCAGTAGATCTCCAGCCTGAACAGCAGCTCCCCAACAGGAGCCTGTCAAGTTTTCAAAGAGTCTTTGATTAGATGCTGAAAAGAGCAGAGAAAACTGAGTAGAGATCATCCAACTGAGCAGAAAATGACAGTAAGTATTGCACATTATTCCTGTCCATCCAAACCTTTACATCTAGTTTTCAGAGACATATTTGTGACTTTAATCAAACTCATAATGTCAACATGTGAGTGCAGGAAAAACTACTGTCAAGAAAACAGTAATATCGTGCATGTGCAGACAGTTTGCAGGTTTTCTGTAATGCGTTAATGATTTGCCTCTAGCTGATGTGATGGCATGCAGACGTTGCATGAATACACTGATGACTTTTTACTACAGCATTTCTCTTTGGCTTCAGACTGTATCATTAAGTGGTGTTTCAACTCCCGATGCTTGACACTTCTAATGGACTTCAAATTAGTTAGTGATGAGCTACATTAAGACATTATAACACTTACTGCTTTGTGCCAAAAGCCATTAACTATTAGAGTTTTTAATTAATAATCACCTTAGTGTCTTAGGACATGGCAAGTATCAGCATACAACCAGTGTCTTAGATGCTTCTGTGTGATTAATGTGTAGGAGTCACTAAATCACTCAGCTAAACTGTGACCTAGATAAAATAAATGATAGTCATTTTCACTTAAGCATGCGTGGAATGAGGAGCACCAAAAGAATCTGACAATGCGATAACTTCAACTCGTGTTAACAGCTCCGGGAACGAAATCCCACTGAGGCTTAAACTCGTGGAAATGTGCTTAAAAACATTTCAAAATTTTGCTTTCATGCATGTGGAAGCTGTCTGAAATGTCATGTTTGATCCTCCTTGTGATATAAAATGTTTTAGTTGCTGCAGAGCAGAGTCTGTTGTTGCACCTGCAGCATTAATCTGTGCAGTATCAATCCTCAAACGGGCCATCATTAGTCTGTTTAAAATACAGCTCATCTGCACAATGTAGTGCTCGCAGGCTGGTCAAAACCTGTTTGGTTTTTTTCAGTATTGACTGCACATCAAGTCTATCAGTTTCCTTAAAAATGACTCAAAGCTGAAATTAATAAATTTTCCAACCATTTGGAATGATTGTAAGTGATTGGAAATATTTTTCTGTAACAGTAATCAGGCTTATTATATTAATTCAAACCAGATTGGTACCAGCACAGCAAATACTACTGGGTGTTTGCAGGGACATCACAGTTACGCAACATGTGGAAGGTCAAGAATAAAAATATGTTATCCTTCTGGAGTCTCTTTATCTTTTGCGTTAAGCTCTTGTCTTAGTTGTTCACACCCGTCCTGGTGTTATGGGCTATGTGGTGGGGGATCTACTTCAAAGTAAATCATCATGGGTGAGACTTCATGAAGCAACGAATAACAATAGGGATGAACACTAAATCACGCTGCCAAATGTTCTGGTCATCCTGATAAGACATCCTGAAATCACCAAATGTTCTGATCATCCTGATAAGACATCCTGATGTCTGGAGTGTCTATATAGCCCAACATGTTCCAATATTTTCTGCCAAATGTTTGCTGGGATGGCACAAACATCTTAAACTTAAATAGTAAGCCAATAAACTTGCATAGAATGAAAAAAACGATTTTTACTATTGCAGCTAATGTGATATGTGAGGTTTGAAGTCCCGAGGTCTTGGCGTGCCCGAGGTTCGGGTAACACATCTGAACGTGCTCCCTCAGATTCAGACTTCATTCTCTGAAGTTATCTATCAATAACATCAACACATGCTGCTCAAGCTGCGGCTCTTATTTCATCAATTTGGATTTATGTGTGTGTGCTTTCATGTGTTCCCAGGCTGCAGCAGCTCAGGAACTCGACGAGCTATGTTTCCTGTCGGCGCAATCCATGCCCAATCTGAAAGCTTCGGAACACTTTCGGATGGTGAAGCTCCTGGGAGAAGGATCCTATGGGAAAGTCATGCTGGCTGTGCACAGAAAGAGAGGTTAGTGCAAGACTCAGTTCAGTGAGAGCTTCTTTAACTAAACATTTTTCCACGTTTAAACTCGCTGCCTATCTGAAGTATTTGCAAAAGTGTCCCTGAGCACCTCAGACTCAGTTTTCCCTCTAGTAAAGAAACCACATGTTTTTTGTGGGGTCAGCTCTGCAGTAACGTGAGAACAGATCCTTCTTTATTCTGTTGCTCTAATGAAGAGCTTTCTTACATTCTCTCGGATAAAGTTGCAGCAACTTTATCCGAGAGAATGTAAGAAAGCTCCTCAAAGGGGAAGTTATATTTGTTCACAGTGTCGGTGATGGACAACGCTCACATGCCACAGGTGGTGAGATTGTTTATAAGGGAATTTTAAAGCTAATTAAATCTCATCTTGGTTTACTCTCATCAGGAACTCCTATGGCTCTGAAGTTCTTCCCTCGTCAGTCTACCTCGCTCACCTCTTTCCTGCGTGAATACAATCTGTCCCTATCTTACTGCACTCATCCGTCTCTGACACGAGCCCTGGGCATCTTCTTCTCCACGCCATCCTACTATGTGTTTGCCCAGCAAGCCGGTCTATACGGTGACCTCTACAGTGTTATAGTGTCCGAGGTCAGTTTGGCTGACGTGTGGCATGAAAGAAACTATATGTACGCCCTACTAATACAACAGAAAACATATACAGCAGCAAAACTTAATACAAATGTTATACAAGCTGATATGTTTTTGCTTCATAAACCCCAGAATCCCAATATTCCAGTCATTTTATCCAAAGAACAAAAAAACACTGCTTGCTAAAAAATCATCCAGATAATAAAACTTTATACTGGCGTTCCCATGAGAGACGAAGCTGAATCATCAGCAGTCTGCAAAGCTTATTGTGCCTGGATGCATGCTCAGCTTACAGAGACTTTTACTTATTAACCATAACCTGGCAGTACTGGCAGCTATATTTGCAAGGATTTACCTTTACAGTGCAGCTATTACAACCTACGCAATTTATTACTTTGAACAGAATCACAGTATTGTTGTTTAACTGTTCCTGCTGTAGTCTCCATATATTATTGTATAATATAACTGCATGTCCTCACTCACATCACCTACCCTGAATTCAGTTTCTTCTCCTTCTTAGACTATGACATATCAGCTAAAAAACACTGCAGTATTACTCTCTTGGGAGTTTGTACTTGTTGAGCGCTCATTTCTAAAAGTTTAAACATAAGACATGCTTGATAACAGCTTCCAGCTCACCTACTTCCCTGTTTGTGTCTCTGCCAATAACACAATGAAGCGTTGATAAGAATAAGGACAGCCTGCTCTCACTCAATGAAGAGAGAGTACATGAAGTTAAATAGGGATTTCCAAATGCGTCACCAACCAGTTAAGTGACGCAGATTTTGTTGTCTTAGTGCCAGTAACACAGTCCTCCTATCAGACTCCACTTGGCCTAATTGTCTTATAAAATATTATATAAAAAATAATAATAACTGTCTGATATTGGGCCACCACTCAATCATACTGTCTGTCTGTTTCAGGCCGGGGTGAATGAGGACTGCGTGCAGAGGGTGATGTCCCAGCTGAGCGGTGCAGTTACACACCTCCACTCTCTGGGCTTTGTCCACCGTGACATCAAACCTGAGAACATCTTCCTCTGTGACAGCTCCTGTCGCTGGGTCAAACTCGGGGACTTTGGCCTCGCCCGAGCCATCGGCACCACCGTTCGAGCTGTCTGGTACGAGTCGCCCTTCTGCACGCCTGAGGTGGAACCTGCCAAGGAGGCCGAGAAGGAGATGGAGAGAAGGTGGACTGAAGGAACCGAAGAAGAGGTAGAAGACATCTGGATATCAGTAGAGCCCTGCATTGACAGCTGGGCTCTTGGTGTGCTCGTCTACTGCCTGCTAACTGGCTGCTTCCCCTGGGAGGAGAGCACTCACGATGATCGTGGCTACCGAAAATATAAGGAGTGGTTTGACCGTGAGGCCAAACGTGACGAGAAAATGCGAGATGGAGAGTGGAGGGGTGAGGAGGACGCTGATGATTACATTATTATGGAGAGAAAACAAAGAGACAATCCTCCTCCTTCACAGTTTGAGGGCCTCAGCCCATTAGTGATGACTCTGTTGAAGGAGCTACTCCACCCTGAGCCCAAACACAGAGGGACTCCAGAGGAGATCCTGAGCTATCTGGGAGGGCCGTGGCTGATGGAGACGGAGAGAGAGGAGAAGAGGAAAGCAGAGGAGGCGGAGAAGGAAGCCAGAAAAATGAGGGAGAGAGGGGGGGTAGAAGAAGAGCTGCTCAGGGAAGGAAGGGGGGAGAGATAAACTTTGTCTTTATGAAACTGTTTCAGCATTTTCATATTTTTTATAAGTACCCTTAATACTCAAAGTGCAACTTCATTGTACATATTTCTGTTTGTGAACATTTGTAAATATGTGTGTTTGCGTGAAAATAATACAAGAAAAGTGTGATGTCTGAACAAAAAGCTGTATTATAATGCTATTAAAGACTTGTGTTGAATGTTGGTTTACGCAAAATAAATCAGTGGTGTTGCATGTGTTATATAAGTAGCAAAGCAGAGCAGTCAGGCTGATAATAAAGAGGATTTGCAGATGATGATGGTTCAGATAAAAGCTACATTTAAAGACACTACAAAGCACCCTAGACTTTATTCTGTTTAGACAGCATTGCATACAGCACGTAGACAAGCACATCTATGGAAATTATGACATCTTGGATGTGATGTTGAAGCAACAGGTGCAGCAGAACAGCAGGAGCACATCTAAAATTGGACTAACAATACAGTCCGACAGTGATACCAGCATGATCTTCTTTCATGCTGGAGTGATGAAAATCACAGGCATGGCACCTATACTAGGAGAGAAAAGGATTTTAGGGCTAAAATAACCCCTTCATGCTGTTCTCAGTGATGCCCACTGTAGGTGATGTACTGACAATGAAACACACCTCATGGGAAATCTGCAAGTGGCTAGTTGGCATCAGTATGGATTCAGGAGAGAGCTGTCCTGTATCTGTCAGAGAGAATAATTACTTGTTGAAAGATCACCTGCAAGCCTGCATACAGAACCCTCCAAAATGGATTTCCCGGAATTGCTGATGGCGCCTTTGTTCACATTTGCCGTCACTCAGTCATGCTGTGATGTTAACTGTCCAGTAGTATGTAAGAAAAACACGACACAGTCCTCACCCTGCTAGATATTAGAGGGTGCAAGGACTATTTAATGTGGAGCAAATGTACCATTTGGACTGGATCCCTGCTGGTAGCGAGCTGCTAATGCGCTGTGTGTGAGTGTGTGCATGTTGGTGGGGCCTGCGCTAACCCCTGCTAAGGACCACTCCAGATGGATTTATAAATAGACTTCTGGGCCATCTATTTACAAACCATGCAAATCATCACCTCCCTCTGACTATCTGCACTTCACAAACGCAAAAGTCAGGCTGCCTTGGCGCCCACAGGCCTGTAGCAGCATAATCTGATGGAACACTTTGACCCATCTTGCCCATTTACCCTCATCTCGTTTTATCTCTGGCCCTTGTGCAGATTACTTTTCCCTTTCTTCTGCCGTGCCACTTGGACCTGGTCTTTCCCTTTCATCGTTGCTATTATAGTCAGATCTGTTTTCTTCACACTTGACGGCTGTCATTCCCTCACTCTCCTTACTTCTTTTTTTAATCTCGGATCACGGCCACGTATCAGCTGTGTCACACAATACCAAATGTTTACGTGAAAACATTTGTTATCTCCTTTAGCAATGGTGGTTTGGGATTTACTGGTTTCTGGGAACCAAAGCTCAGGTAACACTCAGATTGGGCGTTAAAGGAGGACCTCAGCCTGACAAATGGAAACACATGTTGCGGACTGCTGAGACAATCGAGTGCCAACACAAAGATGCTGATCGAGGTGCAAATCTGTTGGAGGTTCAGAAGGACAGATAGCGGGGATGATAAAAACAGGAGAAACAAGGACAGCTACACATGTGGACTACTGCTAAATTGCTGAACCAAGCTGGAGATGCTGCTTAGTTTATTTTAACTCACGTATGTACTTCCAAGTCACGTGTCATGACAGACCTCTGAACATTTGTCAAGTTGAAAGACACACTCCCACGTCCAGAAACCAAAGAAGCTAGTATTTAGATGTCAGCGCCATTGAGATTGCGTGTTACCAATATTGCATGAAGCACACTTTAGCTGGAAAGTTTAAACTCTGTAAAGGTCTACATCATCACATTCGCTGCCTTCAAGCTACCTGCTTATTTTTCATCCTTTACATTATACAGCGTTTGCCTTCTTTCTGACTCTGAGAGGACATGCTTTAGTGTTTTTAAAAGTGCATTTTTACAAAGGTGAGACAGAGGGCACAGAGAAAACCAGCCTGAAAACTCTACACTATGTAACAGATATTTAGACAGATATCTGATAAAGGTTTTCACCTGTCACCAGAATGAGGTCTGCAAAAATGGACGCCGATATAAGAGCCAGATTAATTGACCAAATAAAATGTTCATATAGCCCAGTGGTTCTTAACCTTGTTGGAGGTACCGAACCCCACCAGTTTCATATGCGCATTCACTGAACCCCTCTTTAGTGAAAAATAAAATATGATTTTTTTCAAATTCAAGACATAAATATGTTTTTTATTGGTGCACAAAATTAGCCGTGCATGTCACGGTGGAGGCTCTGCCGAACCCCTGAGACCGACTCACCGAACCCCTAGGGTTCGATCGAACCCAGGTTAAGAACCACTGATATAGCCCAAAGAACAAAATGTACCCCAACTTGGAAGCCAAACCCTCTGCCCATCATGGCCTAATATTTCCACTGCAACTTTTTCCCCCACCTGGCAGCATCTTACACCTCAGCAGGTTTAATTACTTAAACAGGACTGGCAGAGGTGATTCTGGCAGACTGGAAGAACCTGAGATTATCAGTTTTGAACAGCGAGAAGCATCAGTGAGCCACACTGGATCTAGTTTAGAAAACTAAGTGCTTAAGTGTGCTGCGCTGCTGGTTTTCGTGCACAGGAAACACAGCAGTACTAGAAAAAAACAAAAATCTATCAGCTGGTTGAAATCCAGAGACTGTAAGTGAGACGAAGAGTGAAGGCGAAGCATGTTGGGGTGAAAGAGAGGAGCGAGAGGGTATGCATTGCATTGCCGGCATGCCTCATGCAATGCCATACAACTAATAAACAACTAGAGTTTTTATCATGTGTTTACAGTCAGGCATGTTTTGCCTTAACCGTTGCTGGTCCTTCTTGCTCAGCACCTGACCCCTTTAATCCTCTTTTCTGTTTTCATTTTAGCTTTACTTTGTAGCTCCTGCTACAGAAGTGTAGACCGAGGGGCGGTTGGATACGTTCGCAGGACTGACCGTGCTTATTGGCTCCTCTCCTCGTCTCTTTTGCTTACACTGCCTCTATCTGTCAAGCTGTCATCATCCTCACCCTGTCGACCTTGTTAGGGCCATCCTGCAGGCTCACCCTGGAGTCCGTGTAGCCCCAATATGTCAAGGGAGATGATGAGTGTGTCCCTATTGAGCTGACTTGGCCCACCACAAGGTGAGAGCCAGTAAGACTTTATAGCTTCAGGAGTATTCGTAGCAATATTTATATTGGTCAACTTCGTAGAAGCCAAAGAAGAGTCAAGTTTCACCAAAGCTGCTATAAAGGTCACAATGAAAGAAAGCTTTCAACACAATGAGACAAAGGGTCTGGAACAGTGGCCTTCATCTTACACGGATAACACAACTCTGAACGATAGCTTAGGTAATGAACTGTAGTCCACAGATGACAAGTTTATATACAGTAATAAAAAAATGCCCACTCCCTGTCTAACTTGTGGTCTTCCAAGCAATTGTGATGCATCTCTTTGTTTCAAAAGAGAACAAACAGCGAGCTGCGTGAGCTGATGACAGAGTTTAAGTACTTATCGGGGATGAGAAACCATCTTTGGAGCTACATGTTGTTATTTTCTTGAGAGCATTCATGATTAATTCTTACCTGTGTAATCTGTAAATACAGACAAGGTCGATCGCCTTTAACTTCAGGCAATAAATTAAATAAAGGTCATAACATGATCCATTTCTTATATAACTTTAATTAAGTTAATTGTTTTCTACATCTTGCTAGTATTGGGTTGGAACTCCTTTTGCAAGCAGAACTGCCTCAATGAAGACAGTTTGAAATGATCTGAGCTTTGTGACATTCTGTGATGTGGTCATAAAGGCATGGAGATGATCAATAACAACACTCAGTTAGGCTGTGCTTGATACTAAGGAACCCACAGTGTACCAAGAAAATATTTCCAACACTATTAATACCATTTATATAAGACAGGATGGATTCATGCCTTCATGTTGTTTATCATGATCATGTCATGATCATTAATATGCAAATTGTCCCGATGATTGATCATTCACCATTGATCAATGGCCACGAGAGCATCCTTACCTGAATGATTGAGCATGCGTCAAGACGATTGTCTGTTAATGGGAGGCACCACTTTCTTGTGTGCATTGCTCCATCTGCTGGCTGTACCAAGTATTGCAAAAGTCAGATTTGGAGCTCACTCTTGACTGTTAATTTGTGAAATAACTACAAACATATGCCAGGAAATAAATGGCTCCTGTTTACAGCCTTCTCATTTGTCACAGGAATACAAGAGGAAATACTAAATTAAAGCTTTTTCTATCTCTTTTATCTTTGTGTGTGCTTTTTCAAGCAAATACAAAGAAAATGAGTTATTGAGCCGTCTGTAACTCCTGTGCTCAATCTACCTTTATTCAGAGAAGGATAATTGCTGATGTATGGTGATGAAACAGTGAAACACAGGGAAGTAAAAATATATAATGATGCACTACTGTGCAAAGGTTCAGGTAGCTTTAGTTCTTATCCATCACATGGAGGCCCCCTGAACTTACTCTGCATCCTAACAGTCATAAAGACCCACCTTTAGTTTTGAGAATAATGCAGTCCAGCAGACTGTTTACCTTTACAAAGTAAAGTGAGTATAGCGTGTTATCACAGCAATATAATTGGATACTAACCATCAGATATGATGACAAAGGCAGACGATTTTATCAAATCGAGACATGAAAATAGCGAAAAGCATGAAAAGTGCCAGGGGAAGGAGGACAGGGGGAAGAGGAGGGGGAGGAGGAAGCAGAGGAGGAGAAGGAGGGTACAGGAGAGGGAAGGAGGGGAAAAGAAGAGAAGACAAAAGATTCATAAAACTAAAGCAGTTGTGGACGACAGCAAAAGTTGTGAGTACAAGTTATGTTTCTTTTTCCACCTGATTTCTACACATTCTGTAGGAATTACACAGAAGAACATCTGCAGACTCAGGATAACTCACAGCCAAAGACATTAACTGGGTGATACATCCTTCTGATTAGATGTAAACACAAGTTAGGAGGAGAATGCCTGACTAGTTAACTAACTTAGTCAAAAAGGCTTTGTAGACGAGTGAAGGGTTGATTGCATGCAAAGTTCAGCAGACATAA